CACTTCAAGATTACAGTGTGGACGTAATTTCTTGAAAACTCTGCTTTCTCTTGCGTGTTCTGTTTTTCTCTTATTTTTCCCGTGGCGTGCTGTAGAGAAAACACAGGAAGGAACAGAAGACGCAAGAGAACTCGGAGTTTTCAAGAAGTTAGGTCCAAGACTCATTCTGCCAGAGCGATTTTGAAAACGGAGTCAGTAAAAAAAAGTGGCCGTCCATTTCTGATTTCAGGTCTTTCGACCACCTTCCATCAGACTATCAATCAAGGGAGGAAATATTTTAATATGAGCAATGAATAGCTTGATACCCAGAAAATCAGCGTTAGGTTGTGGAAAGACCGACAGACAGACAGACAAGTTGGAGCATTTACCGCCGGACAGACCCTAGACTCTTCAGTCTAGGAAAAAGTATGATTTTTTATTAACAAACCGTAGTTGAAGCTTTTTTCCTCGTAAACATTATCATAATACGTGAATTTTAATTCTCATAGAGTCATTTCTGCAAACAAATGGCGGTAAAGTCATGTTTTGTTAGCGCGAGTTACGATTAGATAATTATTAATCCTTAAAAAGCCACTTCTGCAGAAGAATGTCTTTAAAGCCTTTTTTGTCAGTACACTTTCAGATTAGATAATTATTAATCCCTAAAAAGCCACTTCTGCAGAAGAATGTCTTTAAAGCCTTTTTTATCAGTACACTTTTAGATTAGATAATTATTAATCCCGAGAAAGTCATTTTTCTGGACAAACAGCTATAAAAGCATTCTTTTTCTATACTCAAGTCAGTCACTCACAGCCGTAAACGGCCGTATGCTAATCAAGCACGACGGAAAACGATCGCCGTTGATGGTGATTATTTCCTATCGCACTACATTATGAACAGCAGTTAACACCAACGATCTTCCCGTGTTCAATAGAATAGAATATAATGGGTTGATTTGACCAAGTAATTCACTATTATCACTTGACACATACCGTTTAAGCATAAAAGTATAAATATACGGATATGGTTATAGAGGTAAGATGCACTCAGCGCAGAGGAGGTGGGTCGTTACGACCGCGAATCGGCCCCTTCTCCAAAATGGGTTTTGGGTGTTCATAACTGTGAATTGGAATGCGATTAGTTGATTTCTATCAAAATCAGACCATTCCAGCTCATCTCGGATACTCATGATTGATTCTTGAAAAGTCACTTTTGTGAACAGTGTCTGTATCTACTAGTTGGCCAGTTACTTTTTCACTCCAAGCATCTTTTGAATCAATCTATACATCGTCTGAAAGCCCTTTCTTTTCTCTATCAAATGATATATTGTAGTGTAGTTGGTTGTTCTTCTTTCGCTTTTTTCTGTGGGCAACAATGTTCATCGCTGAGGTTTCTCAGTGTACACCTGCTGGCAACGAAAACTTCGCCCTTGGTACCTGACGGGTCCCCAGCGTGAAGTTGTCGAGAAAATGAAAGTCGTCGCTGGCTTTCTGGAGAGACATTCCCCGACTCACTTTTTCATGCTGATTCTGAATATGGGTCTTTTTCTTCTGGAATGTCACTTATCCACTGAGAATCGGTTCTGCATTGTAGTAAAAACGCAGCTTTATCAATCTCGCCGACATTCCGGACCAAAGAAAAAGTGTGTTCGCCACGAATATTCTCAGGTTTTCTCGTGTCCTCGTATAGAGCTTTCAAAGGGCTATCGAATGAGATATAATCGGGCCTGGTTCGACATTGTTTAAAGAACGCAGCATGTCGAGTTTGCCAGCAGGGCTATACTAAGAAACCTCAACGAGGAACATTGTTGCCCACAGAAAAAAGCGAAAGAAGAACAACCAACTACACTTGAATATATCATTCGATAGGGAAAAGACAGGGCTTTCAGATGATGCATAGATGGATTCAAAAGATACTTGTGGTGAAAAAGAAACAAGCCAACTAGTAGACACAGACACTGCTCACAAAAGTGACTTTTCAAGAATCAATCATGAGCATCCGAGATGAGCTGGAATGGTCTAATTTTGATAGAAATCAACTAATCGCATTCCAATTCACAGTTATGAACACCCAAAACCCATTTTGGAGAGAGGGCCGATTCGCGGTCTTAACGACCCCTCTCTTTTGCAGTAAACTTTGTTTTTCGGTTTTTTGTATATCATTCAATAGATTATGTGTTGCTGATCACGAATATAATTTCGTACTACTGTAGACTACAGTCTCACAATCTTCTTTTTCTCTTTCTCTTTGTGTATAGAAAAAGTATCTTGCTCTTCAAACTCTACCGTTCTTGTTATTACGAAACGCGTTGTAGTTTCTAATGAAGATGTTCTTGTGGCCGTTGTTGACAAAGATGATGTTGCCGTAGTAGTTGTTAAGAATGGTGTCCCTGCGGTGCCTGTTGAGAAAGATGATGTTGCCGTAGTCGAGATATTGGGTTCTCAAGTGAGCAAGATTTTTGTGACATGTCTGTGACAAGCGAGTATTTTTGGAAAAGCCAATATCTCGACAAGGGAACATTCTTTTTGGCTGTAATCTTCAGGATATTCTAAGGACCATTAGTCCTGTCTGTGGCGAAAATTTCACGTGGAAACTCTGTTATTTGACTTTTCGATAAACGTCTGAAAATCAGTAGGAAACTCAGTAAAGTGATCGTGGCTCAGCTGCAAAGACCCGTGGGCACGAATCCTTTTAGGCTTCTGCTAGTTCTATTGAGATCTACCTATGGTCAATATATGAGCTCTAAATCGAGGGGACAGTTCGGGTACCTCCCTCGTCAGCTTTCGATGCTGAACCCAAAAAGTTGTGTTGAGTAACAGATCTAAAGTGGAAAAAGCGTGTAGGTCTTAGGATATAGGGGTGAGGGTGCAGGTATAGAAATGAACAAGAAAAACTTCACTCATGACAACAGTTTTGCTTCTGTTACAATTCATATACTGTGAGGAATCACGGAGTTGGAGATCCGAGGTGAGGAGTGAACAGAGATGAAAACAAACGATCGGTATGTGGAAGAGGAGGCGAATGTTTATTGTTAGTGTCCCTCCGACATATATATTCCTCCTCTCCGCCACGTCATATCGTGGGATCCGAACCAGAGAGAGAAGAGAGCATGGAGTGACGTCAACATCTGACGTCATGAAGGATCACGGGAAGGACTATGTCCGTTCCGTGGGATATGCGCTCGTCAATGTGTTCAACCTAGGTAGAGCTTCAGATAAGCAGAGGCGGGCAAGTCCGGACTTGGACTAAAGTCGGACTTATGAGTGTTACGATCCCGCAGGAGTTGTGGATCATATGACGGAGACTAGATGTGCCCGGATAGCTAAGTTGGTAGAACACCCGCCCGGATAGTGGCAGGTCCGAGGTTCGATTCCTCGTTCGGTCACTGTCTTTTGGTCCGTTCTCTTGTCATACGATCGCGTTGCTGGACCTGACGGCGATGAGACTTTTCCATCCCTCACAATAAGGAAAACTTCCGGACCTGGACTTGACTTGGACTAGACCGCTAGTGGGCTTGATCAAGCGTGTCTGACGAGGGAACATATGCAAGTGATAAATCGCTTTTGAGTTGAGACTATGTGCACTATGTAGACCCTAATGAACTATGAATACCCTGAAAAGGGTTCCGGCTTATAGCCTATTGCTGCCAAGATACTGCGTTTATACGGTATTTTTTAGCAAAATGCCGTGGCCCTCCTCAGCAACACCAGGAAAACTGAGTTCCGAATTTCAACTTTACACTTGGCACAGAGGCAGGCCTTAACGAGAATAGTTTGTGGTGAAAATTTCAAATCTTTTCGTTGTTCCAATTCTGAAATAAGAACATTGAGATCTGCCGGTGTATACGATGATGTAAAAGCATGATTTTACCATAGCCGTATCATAGGACAGGAACAACGAAAAGATTTGAAACTTTCACAACAAACTATTCTCGTTAAGGCCTGCCTCTGTGCCAAGTGTAAAGTTGAAATTCGGAACTCAGTTTTCCTAGTGTTGCTGAGGGGGGTCACGGCATTTGCACTCTGTCTACAACTCATAACGAACACACTTAGCGATCCTCCAATTCCTAAGAGAAGAGCGTTCACAGGAGTGAATCTGATTATATCCAGGTCCAAGTGTGCCCGAGGACTTGGATTCAAGTCCAGACTTGGACTTGAATCAGACTTGGACTTAACTTGGACCTCTAGCGGACTTGGACTTGAATCAGACTTGGACTTAACTTGGACCCCTAGCGGACTTGGACTTGAATCAGACTTGGACTTAACTTGGACCCCTAGCGGACTTGGACTTGAATCAGACTTGGACTTAACTTGGACCCCTAGCGGACTTGGACTTACTAGGACTTGCCCACCTCTGCAGATAAGGATGATTTCTGCGCTTTTTATTTGCTGGATACGATCTACTCCGGTAAGTTTCACATGCATTCCTACGATTTCCCAACTGCATGCGATAATGTTTCTTGATTATTCCGGTGATGAAAAATATTGGGAAGAGAACGGGTCCGGTTCGTCGACCTTCCGACTAGAATACAGCTGCTGTGTTTCATATGTTGTTTCCAACGGGTTCTCCATCGTAGCCCAAATTATTGGTCTGGAATATTGGGTTGTATTTCAAACTTTGTCCGTAATACTAATACATAATAGCTATTCTTGTTAAGAAAAGTGAAAAAATCAACGATGTTTTTTGAAAGATCAATGTTTTCATTTGTTTTACCCTAGGGCATTGTTATTTAGCTTGCCATGATTTATTAGAGATTTGTACTCTACCATATTTTTTTCAGAAGAGTTTTGCTATAATTCTTTTTATTACATAATTTTCACGTTGTTTTCATACAACTGTATTTCTATGTCTTACAAAATATTACTTCTACTTTTGTATCTTATTCATTTTGCGGGTAAGTTCAACAAGATGATTTTCTAAAAAATAATAATTTTATCAATTATTTCTTTAGAATCAAGAGAACCAAAGACCAAACATTCGTCCCAACGTAAATATTTTTTATCAATTCACACGGAATCGAAATGCAGCTCTTTTTAATAGACGAAAATTCCCATACTCAGACGGTCCGACTCCTTTCAACTAAAGTTGTCGCCGATTATGATTGTACATTTGAACAAGACATGTGCGGTTGGACACAAGGTCAAAATACTTCGCTCGATTGGTTTCGTGAACAACCAGCATCGAACCCTCTGGCCGGTATTACTGGTCCATTGGCAGATCATACATATGCAAACACCACAGGGTATTATGCAGCGTCAAAACTACCACTTTCTGTGATCCGTTTAGATGCTATTCATATATCAGCTTTAGTGAGTCCACGTTTACCAAATAATATTTCAAATTCAATATGTGCGCAATGGTGGTATATGATGGTTGGCACACAGAAAACGGTACTAAGTTTGAATTTAATTTCTAATGAAAACTTAACTTCAAAACAATCCGTGTGGATAAAAGCAGGTGATCAAGGACGTCATTGGCAACATGGTCAAGTACAAATAGTACCAGGAAATAATATAACACGTGTTATTTATGAAGTTGTTGCAGATAGTCTATCAGACGTTTCATTAGATGACCTTGAACTTATTGATGGACCTTGTATCAGACCGGTTTATTCAATGAATTGTACATTTGAAGAAAAACATATTTGTGGTTATTCATCTGATCCATCTGGACAATTAGCATGGATTAGAGATCGAGGATCAACAGTAACATTATTTACTGGTCCTAGTGAAGGTAGAAAAGTTTATATTATCTTCATTTTCTCTTTAAAAATTTATATTTTAGATCATACACTCGGAACAGCGCAAGGTTACTTTATGTATATCGGTATATATGGCTTGTTTAATTCTTACTCAAAATAGATGATTGATGACCTTTTTTTAGATGCATCAAGTTCACAAAAACCGGGTGATAAAGGTCGATTAGTATCTATTATTGAACAACCGGTAAACGGTCGTTGTTTGGAATTTTGGTATCACATGTATGGTAAAAATATTGGTCAGTTGAATGTTTATATTACTACGAATGCATCTGGTAATTATGTAAGAACACTACTCTGGTCACGCGGTGCTAATGTCGGGAATGTGTGGAGAAAAGCACATATTTCAACTGAAAACATAAATCCATTTCGTGTTGTATTCGAAGGTGTTATTGGTAATGGTTATGAAGTAAGTGGATAAATTAAAAAGATTTTTTTTGTCATCAAAATCTCTTTGAATTTTATAGGGTGATATTGCTATTGATGATATTGCACGTTTAGCTAAATCATGTAAAGAACCCAATAATTGTGATTATGAAGATGTTACATTTTGTGCATGGGAAAATGTTCAAAAAACTGATCAATTCGATTGGGAGATAACAAATGGTTCATCATCAAGTACATTATCTAGTGGTAAATTGAAATACAAACTTAAAAAAATAACTTTTTGGAAAATATTTGTTTTATTTAGGTCCATTGTTTGATCATACGGTTGGAACAGGCGATGGTTCATATGCATTTATTGATACAAGTCAAACAAGAAAAATCAACGATACCGCTATACTTATATCACAATCAATAACTGATACTGGTTCAAATGGATTATGTATGAAATTTTTCTATCATATGTAAATATTTTAAATAAGATGGTATGACCTTGTAAATAATATAGTGAACTTTTCTCAGGTTTTAATATTTCTGATTTCCAGAAAAAATAATTTTCTTTAGGTATGGTGTAGGTATTGGTGTATTGACAGTTTATTTACAAAAAGAAGGTTATCAGCCAATGTCCATATGGACATTATCGGGCGAACAAGAGGATAATTGGTTACAAGGAAAAGTCGGTTTTGTTATGAATTCCGAACATTCAATAATAATTGAAGCTAAAGTAACTAGTGAAAGCGGTGACGGCAATATAGGTATTGATGATATATCAATCACAAACGGTTATTGCCCAACATTTCCAGCATATGCTACACCGGCCGATGCTTTAACAACAGCAACACCAGCAATAACAACAATGATGTTAGTCTTGAAAACCAGCTTTTCTTTTTTTTAATATTTTATATTTAGGACAACTCCGCCATGTCTATCAAATGCATTTGATTGTGATTTTGAAAATGATACATGTTCATCATGGCAGTTAACTTATGAATCTGAACTTAGTTGGACAAGAATTCAGGCTATAGAAGCTTCACAAGAAGATGCAGATAATTCAATTTATGATCATACAGGAAATAATATAAATGGATATTATCTTTTACTGAAATCAAACAAAACAAAACCCTTTCCAAATGTAAAAATTAAATCGAATAGTTTTCTTTTCGATATGTTCTCTTTTATTTATTGTAGAATAGTGTCTCAACTCAATATCGTAGTTTAACAATGAATAATAATCGTCAATGTTTAGAATTTTGGTATTTTATGTATGGTTCACATGTTGGAATATTAAGTGTTTTAATATCATCGGGCTTACTTTCTCAATTACGATGGACAGCAACAGGTGGAAAAGGTTATGAATGGTATCATGCACAAGTTAATCTTCAATCATCACTACTCAATTCAACACAATTTAATGTTTGTTTGTTTTTTTAGTTTAAACTTTTTCAAATTAATTATTTTTTCAGGTTGATATTGAAGGAATATGGTCAGCAGATAATCATGGTTCAATTGCTATTGATGATATAATTCTTCTTAATGGTACATGTAAAACATCACCTGATCAATGTGATTTCGATTCTGATAATTCAATTTGTGGTAAAATAACAAAACAAAATGTCGTTTTTATTTACAATCTAAAAAATGTTTCTAATAGGATTTCAATATAGTTCAACAGGACAATTTAATTGGATACGTAGTTTAGCATCTGTAGTCAATTCAAATGTTGACCACTCAACTCAAACTACTGCAGGTTATTATATGTTAGCCGAAGGAAAAAATCGTAATGTAAATGATCGTGCATTACTTTTAACACCAAGACAAGATCGTACAACAGGTTCATGTTTACAATTTTGGTATTTTGAACATGCATTAACACAACAATTGAAATTAAATATTGTTCTATCACCGCAAAGTTCATTACTTTGGTCTCATGCTGGTAGTTCATCTAATCGTTGGTTATATGCAGAAATAAATATTCACAGTCCCAGTCAATCATGGCAAGCTGTATTTGTAGCTGAAGTATTAACACAAAATTTAAATGCTAGTGTTGCTATTGATGATGTATCAATTACAAGAGGCTCATGTCCAAAAGTCGGAGATTGTACATTTGAAATTGATTTATGTGGTTGGATAAATGATGATGTTGATGTTGAAATGGATTGGCTTGTAGGAAATGGTGTACATTCATGGGGAACTGGACCTCTATTTGGTATGAGAGAAAACAAAAATTGATCTTGGTTTCCTTTAGAGGTTTTTTCTTTAATAGATCATACAACTAATATAGCAGAAGGAAAATATTTAATGATTGAAACGTCAGCTCCAACAAAACCAGGCGATCGTGCACGATTAAAGAGTGTTGTTTTTGATGGAACAAATGGTGAGGCAAGATGTTTTAGATTTTGGTATCATATGTAAGTTTTTTAATAGAATTAATCGTTTACAGTATGTTTTCTTCTTCTTCTTCTTAGGTACGGTGATTCAATAGCAACATTGAATATTTATCTTTTCAATGCTTCTTATAATCGTATATGGTCACTTTCTGGTAATCGAGGTAATAATTGGTATGAAGGACAAGTATCATATGTATCACTGGTTCCACATCAAATTCTTGTCGAAGGTATTACTGGAAGAGACTATACGGTAAGAATATATTAGAGTGTTTTTTCTTTTTTTGTTGTTAAAATTTATTTTAACTAGGGCGATATATCAATTGATGATTTTACATTCACAACAAGTAATTGTTCAATTCGACCAATGAATGATGCAGTACCAACTGTAGGAACAACTATTTTAGCACCGACTACAGGAACATCTTTTTCAATAACCACTACGATAACGTCATTCTTAACAACTACTACGTCAACATCATCTTTCTCAACAGGCACCGCAGGAACACCATTCTTAACAACTACTATGCCAACATCATCTTTCTCAACAGGCACCGCAGCAACACCAGTCTTTGCAAATTCCGCGGGTTTTTCAATTGTTTTGGTTTTCTCGATCTTATCAAGCTATTTCCGATATTAAAAGAACGTGATCTAAACAATTTCATTTTTGGACATATGCCTGAGGGGTACCCGGGGCGAAGTTGCCGAGAAAAATGAAAGTCGTCCCTGGCTTTCGGGAGAGACATTCCCCGACTCACTTTTTCATGCTCCTTCCGAATCTGGGTCTTTTACCTTCTGAAATGTCACTTCTCGACTGAGAATCGGTTCTGCATTGTAGTAAAAACGCAGCTTTATCAATCTCGCCGACATTCCGGACCAAAGAAAAGTCTGTTCCCCACGAATATTCTCAGGTTTCCTCGTGTCCTCGTATAGAGCTTTCAAAGGGCTATCGAATGAGATATAATCGGGCCTGGTTCGACATCGTTTAAAGAACGCAGCATGTCGAGTTTGCCAGCAGGGCTACACTAAGAAACCTCAACGAGGAACATTGTTGCCCACAGAAAAAAGCGAAAGAAGAACAACCAACTACACTTGAATATATCATTCGATAGGGAAAAGACAGGGCTTTCAGATGATGCATAGATGGATTCAAAAGATACTTGTGGTGAAAAAGAAACAAGCCAACTAGTAGACACAGACACTGCTCACAAAAGTGACTTTTCAAGAATCAATCATGAGCATCCGAGATGAGCTGGAATGGTCTAATTTTGATAGAAATCAACTAATCGCATTCCAATTCACAGTTATGAACACCCAAAACCCATTTTGGAGAGAGGGTCGATTCGCGGTCTTAACGACCCCTCTCTTTTGCAGTAAACTTTGTTTTTCGGTTTTTTGTATATCATTCAATAGATTATGTGTTGCTGATCACGAATATAATTTCGTACTACTGCAGACTACAGTCTCACAACTTTCTTTTTCTCTTTCTCTTTGTGTATAGAAAAGGTGTCTTGCTTTGTGGTGCAAACTTTGTGTGCAGCAGAATTCGTCGTGGTAAGGATTCAGCTGTTCAGATTTGAACTGAGTAGAGTAGAAAGACAGAGAAAGAAAATGTGCTAGAAACGTTTCCCTTTTAAACTATGAAATCCAAGGCTATCACTGATAGGCTAGAAACTTACAAAACTTGACTGAAAGTAACCTGTCTTCTATCGTAAACACATATATATAATCTAGCTGAAGAATCTTCTAGGAGTGTTCAGCGTATGTAAAACACTGTGACAAGCGAGTATTTTTGGAAAAGCCAATATCTCGACAAGGCAACATTCTTTTTGGCTGTAATCTTCAGGATATTATAAGGGCCATTAGTCCTGTCTGTGGCGAAAATTTCACGTGGAAACTCTGTTATTTGACTTTTCGGTAAACGTCTGAAAATCAGTAGGAAACTCAGTAAAGTGATCGTAGCTCAGCTGCAAAGGCCCGTGGGCACGAATCCTTTTTAGACTTCTGCTAGTCCTATTGAGATCTACCTATGGTCAATATATGAACTCTAAATCGAGGGGACAATTGGGTACCTCCCTCGTCAGCTTTCGATGCTGAACCCAAAAAGTTGTGTTGAGTAACAAAACTAAAGGGGGGAGAAACTACGACCATTTTACTAAAACGTTGCGTTTTTTTCAGATGATGTATAGATTGATCGAGTTATATATGATTTATTGAGTTATCGTACGTTTCAGTGTAGCGAGTCGTGTTCATCTCAGGAGATGTGACCACTCGTCAAACCTTGCCAGAAATTGCGCACTCGATAGGACTACAAAATCCACTATTTGGTGGTTCTTCAGCGTGGGTGCAAGATCTCCAAAATCGCTCTGCATTGACAACTACTGCACAATTCTTTCGTTTTTTTTACAAAAAATTTCATCTTTTCTTCATTTTTATTTATCTAATCGCACTAATTTTTTAAATCTAAGATCATATTCATGTTCAGCGTGAAAAAATACATCCAATAGAGTATATGCTGAGTTTTCAGAAAGTCATTCTGTGTCATACACTCATGTCATAACATCTTCAAATATTACTGTCCGTTTCAAAATATAATACAGTTGTTTGTTTTTTTAATAATTCAAGAACGAAAGCAGCTATCGACCTGTGGTTTTCAGTAATCGAAAGAGAAATGTGAGGCAAGTAATTGTATGTAAAAATTTGACTGGTTGATAATTGACCATTCAAGTGAATTCTTGATGAACATTTTACAAACGATATTCCAAAGGCATTTCTCACATTACTTTGGATTTTGACATGGTCATTCGATAGAAAAAACTGTTCTCTTTCCCCCGTTGTGTGCCTTGATTAGTCATAATAGGCGTGTTACATTCGATAGTTGATATAGTCTAACTTTTTTCGGCCTTGACCAAATGTAACGCTATCTGGTACTTAAGGGTTTTTGACCATGCTCTTTCTTTTGTCTAGCGGACACTTTTGTCCAAAATGCTTGGAAGTATGTTTTCTCGAAAACCACGGTTTTTTGACCCACTGGTCGACAAGACAGCTTTTTCTGGAAAACTAAGAAACGATGGAACATGTTTAATTATATGGCTGTATTCGGCAAAGAATGGACTACATTTTGAGAAAAAATTGAGTCTCCAGTTCAAAATTTAAATTTTTAAATTTTTTTAGAAATTGTAAAATTTAAACCTTTTTTAAAATCTAAATAACTCGACGTACAAAAGCAATGGAGACCTCAGATAAACAGCATTGGATAGAGAATGAAAAACTAAACAAAACTGGGTATTTGAGAAGATTCTGATATTACGCAATCCTGCTTTTCTATAAGGTTTTCTGAAATTCCTTTTGGGGAAAAAATGAAAAAAAACATTTTTCACTTTAAAATGATTGAGTATTTATTTTTTGATGGAAGGGAACGGACAACGGTACGTCTGATTGAAGTTGTGGGTTGTTTTTCGGCATGTCTGACTGCATAGGGTGTCTCTCGTCGTTTGTCTTGGCTTCTTACACCGGTAACTTTTTTCTTCACATATATATATCTTTGCAAAACATAATAATAATGTAAAACAACCGTTTTCAAATAAAGGTATCAGTCAGACATACATGCATCTGTGTTCATTTTTATTTTCTTTGTTCTGTTTTGTTTATGTTGAATGTTCATCTTTATATGACCTAATGTAACGCTGATTGTCGAAATATTCACTGCAAAAATGCATCAGAATCGCTGAAAAACAGCCCACAACTTCAGTCAGACGTACCGTTCCCTCCGTTGTCCAATTTTGTGAACCTATCTTTTTCTGTTAAGGATCCCACCCTTGTCAAAAATCTATTTTTGTTCCAGAAAATTCAATGTTGATAAAATTTTCAAATAATATGCGTCTTATGTTTGATATATCACACAAAAAGTTGAGCTCGAAATATTGAGTTTTCCGAGAGTTATCTTGAAATTAAGGGTCAAAAAGTAGATGTCCGTGCGGTCCAGATTTCTCCGCCATTTTACATGCTACAAAGCTCGAGACGGCCTTAAAATGTAGCCAAGACTTGTCGCTACAACATAGCAAGGTCGAACTTTAAAAGTTTTTTCTATTAATATTTTTCAAAAGCTTTTTTAAAAAAGTTGAAAAAATTACGGCTTACTTTTTAGAAAAGTTTATTTTTCTCAAAAATTAAACCGAAAATAAAAAATTCGACCTTGCGGCGTTGTAGCGCTAAGTCATTGCTTCATTTAAAGACCTTTCCGAGCTCTCTGCGATGTTTCATTACCGAAAAATCTTGGGGCTACAAAATGGTGTTACGGTGAAAGTCGCTTTCGGGATATGGTGGTGCCAGTACCTAATGCATGTTTTAGGGCTTCCAGTAAAACTCTCATAACTCTTGATCAGAACATCATTCAGAGCTGGAAAATATCTCATTCTGATCAGAAATGTTTGCTTTATTTTCCGGTATTACTAAAAGTGGTTTTCGATTTGCTTTCCAATGGAAAAGTAAAACTTTTCGAAATCCGACTTTTCATGGTTTTCAGAAAACTTTTCTAAAAACCTCATTACCCCTTCGATAAGGACCAAATAACACGGAATCTCGATAGTAGACACTGTAGGCTACCAGATGATGTGCTTAGCTCAATATCGACTTTTTATAAAAAATTTATGTTTCTGACAACTCAACTTCTATGTTATAAAAATATCATATTCGGAATTCGGAAACTGAATCTGAAGTACATCTCTATCCTATCCGACTACTTCACTTCTTTTCCAATTTTCACGTTGAAAAATTATCGAGATTTTCTCCCAAAATTGAAAATGAGCTAAAAATTTCAAAGTACACATCAGTCGACTCAGCTTTTGATCGTGATTCCGAATATAATATTTTTATCACACATAGAAGTTAAGTCCTGATTGAGAAAATTGCGAATTACGGTCAGAATTCCTACTTTTCCGCCTTGATATTATCATTATACACCTAAATTCTCTGTTTTTTCCAAAACTTCTTGTATTCAGAAGTTTTTCGAAGATCATTTAGAAAGCTTAATCTTGATGAAAGACAAGTTTTTTTCCAAATAAATACTGGCTCATCAGATAGAAAACTTGATACTATATACAAATGAGTAATAAAAGTTTAATTTTTAAATCGAAAACGAGGTTATGTACACTTAAAGACAATAATTAATAATAATTAGGTATAATAAAATGGTTCGAACAACAGAAAAAACAAGAAGAAGTATCCGCACCGATTGAGTGAAACAAAACGAGCAAAGACTTAATTAAAAATCGGCGCCGATCAGCCCATGTAGTTAGGTGTCTAGTTTGAAATAACACAAACCCGAACTCTCCAGCTTGAAGTATATTAAAAGATCTTGGGAAATACTGCAGCGTGCTTTTTGGACCTTGATCTCTGGGAAACTCCTAAACAATGAGACTTGGAGATGAAACAACATTTTCATTCCCGTAACTGGTCGAAGTTAGTACGATAACGGTAGGAAAAAATATTGTGGCAGGTACCGATAAACCGAGTTACCGTTCATCGTTAGGCCATCCGAGAATGTCTCTTTTTAAGCCAGCTGCAATCTTATTCGTTCTGCTTGAATTTCTAAGTGATATGGCAAACGGTTATGTTTAACCATTATATGTTCGATGATTGAACGATCGTAATTAGGATTGAAATCCAGAACAGTGACATATAAAACATGTATAGCAGAACATATATCCAGATAAATTAACTGTTTCATGTCTCTTGCGAGAACAGTCATTTCGTTATTTAAGTCAAATTCAAATGCTTTAAATTGCTGTTTAACCAGTATTAAAGTTTGAAGTTTACGAAAATATCGAGAAATATCGATCATTTTTAAATCACTGCCCAATAACTTTAATTGTTTTACATTTTTAAATAAATCGATCAGTGATGAACTAGAGAGAGAGAGGGAGAGAGAAAATGCCATCAATTTTACTGTTCCTCTATTAATTCATACCTGATGCACGACTCATTTCGAAATAGGTGTGAAAGACTCGTACCACTTGCGACAAAATGTTGAAGATTATTAATATCACAAGAATTGATAATTAACTGCAGTGTTTTCTCAAATGAGAAAATAACATCATTTGTTTCGATTGTTGCACTTCTTGTCGTAACCGAAAAATCTCTTTCCGGTTCAATAAATAATTTATTCGAACCACTACGCCCAATTTTGATGTGAACATGTTTCAATTTCTTAAGAAACGACGTTTTGTACATTTCTTGAGGGTGTGTGATTGTAACACTTCGAACATTTGATGAAAAATTAGAATATATCTTTTTCTCATTCATTTTAAGACTCCATAAATGTGTAAATGCAAATGGTATTGTATAAAAATGATACCAGTCAACATCGATAAGGTCATAATTGATTTGCCAATGACTATGTTTCCAATAATCACTTGCTTCAAATGTTTCAATTAGATCCTTTAATGGATGCTCATTTCTATAAGCACAACACAAAACTATTACGAATCTTAAACATTTCTATATCAACTAGCTATGAGAAAAATGTAAAAATATTGAAGCGAGTTAGCGGTCACTGCAGCTATCTACACTAGTTTCGATACCCGTTGTAGCTAGCTGCATAAACATACACATCATGAAACGGCCGCTATAGCGTTCGCTTCAGCTAGTAACGAACTGACTAACACGATTTTCAACTAGTCGACGCTAGTTGGAAATCGCATACAATAATTCGATTTTCCATGAAGGAAGCATTTCTCAGAGTTGAATCTTGAGACAATAGTATATAAAATTTAATTTCCAGAACTTTTTCCTCTTGGCAGAAATTTGGAAAAAGCTTTCTTCGTGATGAAAATGCGATTTTTTTAATCAGTTTTGATTTTTCATTATGAAGAAACCATTTCCGAACATTATGCCTAGCGGGAAAAGTATTGGAAATTATATTTTACATACTACTGCCTTGAGATTCAACTCTGAGAAATGTTTTCTTCATGGTGAATAATCTTAATTACACTTATCTAAGGACAACGGACGGTTTCCGCAAGAAAACCGCCCTATATATTTTTGAGAAGATAAAGACTGGAACTGATTAGAAACCGTTCGTTGTTTTATTTGTAATTTTTCTGCGCCTTAAAAGTTCATTGTAGACTACCATATGCTGAAGTTTTTAATCATTTCTGAGCAGAAAGTCTCTTCGACCGTATTATTCATTTTTCTCTGAAAGCCCGACGTTCTTAATAGAATCGTATGTACGAAAACATACGTAATTAAACGGGCTTTAAAATGATATGTAGCACACCTTTTCAAACTAATGTCTTCATAGATGAATTGGTCAAATACTTGACAGATATCGCGATTTTTTCCTATAATGGCACATAAACACGATTATAGTTTCTTCTACAGACAGAGATTAGGCGAAGACGAAACTCCTCGAGCCATGCAAATCTTTTTTCAGATTTATTATGGCTGTTATCTTAGAGGAGAAAAACTGAAAATACGCGTGGTTTAATAGCTTTGAGAACAACAGTAAATAAAAAGCGGTCATATACTATTCAGAATATAATTGCTTGACGGTATACTTTCTAAAAAGTTCAATGTCTTTCAATTCGAACTCGTTAAATTCTGCATTTTTTTATATCATAACCATTCTGAGTCTGATTTTGTGTACAGCACTATACTTCACTAACGCTTCCACAACAGGTCAAAACCACTGTATCCATTTACTATCTTGCCCATAAGTCTTGCAAATTTACAATTTCAAAGAATGTGTTATAGCTCACTCGTTAGCCCTTTCAATTCTGCATTCTTCTGTACACAAACTACGCCTAATCTCTGTCTGTAGAAGAAACTATAATCGTGTTTATGTGCCATTATAGGAAAAAATCGCGATATCTGTCAAGTATTTGACCAATTCATCTATGAAGACATTAGTTTGAAAAGGTGTGCTACATATCATTTTAAAGCCCGTTTAATTACGTATGTTTTCGTACATACGATTCTATTAAGAACGTCGGGCTTTCAGAGAAAAATGAATAATACGGTCGAAGAGACTTTCTGCTCAGAAATGATTAAAAACTTCAGCATATGGTAGTCTACAATGAACTTTTAAGGCGCAGAAAAATTACAAATAAAATAACGAACGGTTTCTAATCAGTTCCAGTCGTTATCTTCTCAAAAATATATAGGGCGGTTTGGATTACTAATCTCTATATACAGAGTTCGAATCAGAGGTGCAGAAATCTCCCCCGTTTGCTGCGACGACCGTCGAAGGAAAAAAATTTAATCTGGGTATATGTACAAGAAAATAATAACGGAAAAGGAATGAAAACAGGGGAGCGGGAATGGTATGCCTTAGGTCAAGTCACATAACAAATTGTATCGTTCACGGGAAATTTTATAATAACCTTTTACCTTCGGGGAAATGTCCTAATCTCAAGAGTAGATTCTGCATCCCTTGGTCGAATCTCTGCAGGAATTAATCATTGATTCCTTACTAACACCTTTTAAACTTTCTAAAAAGGAATTATAATAACCAACATAATTTTTCAACATTTTAAATATAAATAATAATGAGATTGTTTTTTTTCTTTAAGTACTAATAGAGGATCAAACAAGACTGATTAATTAAAACGATAATAAGTTTATTAGTTATTAATGGACGCCCAAGTGAAACGGAACACTTCTGTTCTTTGATTTTTAGGTACTAAAATAAAGTTTAACAAAATAATGCTGAATTAAGGCAGATGAGAAGCATAACTACGAGGATTAAGGGAATGAAGACAAGGTCTTTAAACACAAAACTTGTGATGGATAGCTTCTAGAATATTAAATAATCCATTAGGTTAGGTATGATAGAAAAAAACTTGCGATGTTTTCTTTCCGCCGCTCACTCTAGAACAAAACATGTTCTTTGTGTTTTCAGACGAGTTGAAGATCCCATTTCAGTTCTTTGAAATATGCAGAACTTAATTACTATTTTTCAACAAGAAATGAGTTTTTCGGCTCATTTTAGTTTTTCGGAAAAGTTGTTTTTCAAGATTTGGAAAACAGAATATTTGTTTTGAAGTTCTCTGAAGATCTCGAAGTTGAAAAAGGAAAAAAAATCCATATTTCAATCACCACTTTGGTTTTGCGATTCCTAATATATATGAAGGATATGATCTTTTCTTAACGTGCTCCAAATTCAAAATTATAGCATTATTTAATTTTTGGCTTAAACATATATCATTCGATACAGAATTTCACGCTGATCAAGAATATCTGACTTTTAACCTTCCCAGTTCACGCTATCAGTGAAAACAATTCAAAAAACTTGAAGGATCTCTTTTTTCAAAAAACCACTAACGTTTTTTAAAAACTAAATAACTTGGTTTCACCTCATTTGGAAGCCGTGAAACTATGTTTTTCTTATTCAGCATTGAAAACTGCATCTAGCAAAAACTGTATTTCAAGGTTCCACACCAAAAAGTAATTTCTGGACGGGACCGATATATCTTCGGTTCCGAGACGATCATCTTGCAACCCTATCGCAGCTCTTTGGTTAAGAGATGAAACCAAGTTTCATACGCCATTCGATTCGCCTTGCAGCATAGAATAAAAGTATGAATCGCTTTTTTTGAAATATGTTTTCATTGTTGAGAAAATTCATTTTTTCTAAATATGACTCAGTTTTCGAACCCAACGAGTCGAGTACCTGCGATGTTTCGAACCTGATTCGACCCGGATTGAATGAGATTCCAAATGACAGTCGAGTTAGGATGTGGGCTACATAGTTTCCTCTAACTGTGCAGATTTCCAGTTGACAATATTTATACTGAATAAAAGAATAATTCTACATATGATCACAGATATCGTATTGATTAAAAAAAGTTAGCCGGTGAAAAGAGGAATTAAGATCCAGATGTTTGAAAAAGTCGAAGAATAGAAATGTGTTTTTCGACCTGATGTTTTTGGAAAACAAATGTCCCAAATAGGGAAGTAAAAAAATGAAAAACTCAATTTCTGTTTTCTGAAAAAGTCCCCTTTTTTAGAGTGCAGTTATGCTTGTCAGTTTTCAAACTCTATTTCAGTGCCTAAAAATCAAGAACCAAAAGTATCCCGTTTTATTTGGCCCATTCGCTAGATCGTTTCTGATACACTGTAACTGAAATGAATTTTGATGGTAATTTACAATTTTATTCAACTCGTCCTCAAAAGTCCATTGTTTTACTTTCTATGATCAAAACTTTCGAAGAGATTATCTAATTAACCTTCCGGCTCAAAACTTCTTAATAAGAAAAAATAACATTTCTCCAAGTCCAGCTCTAATTTTATCCGAAACGCTAGGTAATAGAAGAAATAGTGAACATACGATAATTGGATGGAAAATTGCAACGTTTGTAACGTTGTTTTGATTGATTTCAATAAAACTGTTTCCATGTAAAATCCACCATCTTGTAATGTTGGCAATCCACTATAATTATAAGGATGTACCCGATACTTAAATGATAATGATAAAAATGTTAAATTTAAAAATGAATGATTTAATAGAAATTCTAATGGAGTTAGAAAATGAACGATCGTATGTGTTACGAACGTAAATCGTTTTAAATAATTAAATGTAATTTTTTTTCTTTTCCACTCATTGTATCGATATTGTTCAACTCTTACGGATGTACAATCAAGGATGTGAACGTTTAAATCGATTAAATTCGGTGTGGATTTTAACAAGATGAATAACTGATGAAAAGCGTATAATTCTAGGTTTAAATATTTCAAACTGATCGTTTCCGACAATTGATAACTGTCAATTGATATCATGTAATGACATCTTAAACAACATCTGGTTAAAAAACATTTTGACGAAAATATGAGTGAATATAGTTGTTCATAAAATTTGTCAGTATTCTTGCGACTGAAGCTAAATTTTGAATCAAAATCAATAATCAATTCTAAAAATATAAGTTTATATATAACGTAAGGTACAAATCCAGGTTGAAATTCGAGATCAACTAGTCCTACTGTTTACGAATAAACGTTCTTATTCATCCGAAAAACCGGCGATACCATTTGGTAACTTTCAATCGTAGTTGAAATTAATGAAACACTAGAGAAGACGACTTAATTATTATACCCTATAATGTATGAGTCGCTTTTTTTGAAATTCTTTTTCACTGCTGAGGAAATGCATTGCTTCTAAATCTGAGGTGAAAAGTCGTAATTCACAATTTTCTCAATCATAACTCAACTTCTATGTGTGATAAAAATGTCATATTCGGAATCAGGATCGAAAACTGAGTCGACTGATGACTGATCGAAATTGTTAGTTCATTTTTATTTTTTGGTGTAGATCTCGATAATTTTTCAACGTGAAAATTGGAAAAGAATTATAGTTGGATAGAATAGAGATACACTTCAGTTGACTCAGTTTTCGATCCTGATTCCGAATATGATATTTTTATAACATAGAGGTTGAGTTCTGATTGAGAATTACGACTTTTCCTCCTCACATTTAGAAACAATGCATTTTCTCAGCAATGAAACCGAATTTCAAAAAAAGAGATTCAAATTTTATTCTACGTTTCAAGACGAATCCAATGGCTTATAAAACTTGGCTACAGCTGTTGACCAAAGAGCTGCGATAGGTTTGCAACATGAGAGCAAAAGTTAGCGGATTTTTGAAAAAACAGGTCAATGAAGTTTTCTCACTTATAATGTGCACTGGGAAGACTGAAAATCAGATCGGCATGAAATTCTCTATCGAATGATTAACAGTCACTGCACCAGTGGGACAGCGTTTTTGGATACCACTTGCTCAATCGAAGTTTGAGCTTTTGGCTCAGGATTTTACCATAAGTAGAGGCAACATATATCG